AAATGATCTTCCTTGGATTTATCGCTTGCCGAACTTCTTTCTGGGCTCAGCTCCCCGTCTTTGACTTCATAGATTCTGATTCCAACCAGTTTTTCTTCCTTTGTTCAGGAGCCTCTGACCAGGGTTGCTACCAGTCGGCCATCTTCCCAGAATCCTCAAGCTGTACTAGGTTATTCTTGTGATGCTTTACTAAGAATGTGTTCCACGTCCATCTAGGTTAATACAAAAGATGTAAAGTCTCCGCCTTTTTTAATGGCTGAATAGTATTCCACGGTATACATATACCACAGTTTGTTAATCCATTCCTGGATTAACAGAAGTTAACGGTGGACATTTAGGCTGTTCCACATTTTGGCTATTGTAAATTGAGCTGCAATAAACAGTCTAATCCAAGTGTCCTTATAGTAAAATGATTTTTTTTATTCTGGGTAGATAACCAGTAATGGGATTGCAAGATCAAATGGGAGATCTAGTTTGAGTTCTCTATACTTCCTTCTAAAAAGGTTGTATTAGTTTACAGTCCCACCAGCAGTGTAAAAGTGGGCCAATCCCACCATTCTCTCCACATCCACACCAGCATATGAAGTTTTGAGATCTTCGTAATATGGGCCATTCTCGCTGGGGTTAGATGACATCTCAGGGTGGCTTTGATTTGAATTTCTTTAATAATTAGGGATGATGAGCATATGTTCATATGTTTGTTAACCATTCATCTGTATTCCTTAGAGAAGGTTCTAGTCATCTCTCTTGCCCACTGTATAAGCGATTATTAGCTTTTTTCATGTTGATTAATTTGAGTTCTCTCTAGATCCTAGTTATCAAGCTTTTGTCCAATTCAAAATATGCAAATATCCTTTCCCAATGTGTAGGCTATTTACTTTGGTTGTTGTCTCCTTAGTTGTACAGAAGCTTTTCAGTCTAATTAAGTTACATTTGTTTATTTTTATTGTTGCAATCGCCATTCTTGTAATACTTTACTAAGAAGAATATATTTCAACTCCACCCAGGTAAATAGAAAAGATGAAAAGTCTCTATCTTTTTTAATGGCTGAATAATATTCCATGGTATACATGGAATGATCCATTAGTGGGTTGATAAGCACTTAATGGATCCATTAGTTGATCCATTAGTGGGTTGATGGGCACTTAGGTTGCTTCCACAACCTAAGTTGGCAATTATGAATTAAGCCACAAGAAACATTCTAGTGCAAATATCTTTGGGGTAAAATGATTTTTGTTCTTCTGGGTAGATACTTAGTAATGGGATTGCAGGGTCAAATGGTCTATTTTTAGATCTTTGAGGATTCTTCATACTTCTCTCCAAAAAGGCTGAATTAGTTTGCAATCCCACCAGCAGTGTAGAAGTGTTCCCTTCTCCCCACATCCATACCAGTGTCTGGTGTTTTGGGACTTTGTGATGTGGGCTAATCTTGCTGGGGTGCAGTAATATCTTAGAGTGGTTTTGATTTGCATTTCTCTGATGATTAAAGATAATGAGCATTTTTTCATGTGTTTGTTGGCCATTCATTCATCTATCATCCTTGGAAAAGTTTCTGTTCAAATCTCTTGCCCACTTATAGAGAGGATTGTTTGCACTTTTCTTATTGTTTAATTTGAGTTCTCTGTAGATTCTAGTTATCAGGCCTTTGTCAGATTCATAACATGCAAAAATCTCCCATTCTGAAGGCTGTCTGTTTGCTTTGTTTGTGGTACCCTTAGTTGTACAAAAGCCTCTTAGCTTGATCAAATCCCAGTTATTTATTTTTGGTGTTGCTGCAATTGTTAGGGGTGGTCTTCCTCATAACGATTTTTCCCAGGCCAATATCTTTAAGTGTTTCCCCCACACTCTCTTAGAATTTAGATTTTTTATCCAACAAAAACCAATTTTTGTCAATGGCAAGAGGTACAGTTCCCGTTTCAGACTTCTACAAATGGATAACCAGTTCTCCCAGCACCATTTGTTAAATAAGGATTCTTTTCCCCTACTGCATGTTTTTTATAGGCTTATCAAAGATTAGATGATGATATATGGCTAGGTTCATCTATAGATTCTCTATCCTATTCCATAGATTTATGTCTCTATTTTGTGCCAGTACCATGCTGTTTTGATTGCCATAGCCTTATTACATAACCTGAAATCTGGCAATGTGATGCCTCCAGATTTGTCTTTATTTCTAAGAACTATATTTGCTATTCAGGGTTTTTTTTCTGGTTCCATTTGAATTGAAGTACTATTTTTTTCCCAAGCTCTTTAAAGTATGACATTGGTGCTTTAATGGGAGCTGCATTAAATCTATAGATTGCTTTGTGTAGTATGGACATTTTAATGATGTTAATTCTGGGTCATGCCTGTGGCTCAAAGGAGTAGGGCACCAGCCCCATATATTGGAGGTGGTGGGTTCAAACTTGGCCCCAGCCAAAAAAACTGCAAAAAAAAAAGTAATGATGTTAATTCTTCCTAGCCATTTCTTATTCCAAAATCAGACTATTTTTATGCATGTCTATGATCTTTTGGAGGCTATAGGGGTAACATATATGTATACTCATGCACTTATTGTATTAGAAATACATCACATTTCTTATTTTGTTGTTGTTGTTGCAGTTGTCACCATTGTTTGGCTGGCCCTGGCTGGGCTCAAATCGGCCAGCCTTGCTGTATGTGGCCAGCACCATAACCACTGTGCTATGGGAGCTGAGCCAGAAAAAATCACATTTCATTAAGAATATCCTAAGAACAAATAAAATTCCCAAACGTTAGATTAATTTGATTGACAAGATTAACTCTCATTGAATTTAAAGAAGAATTACAGGGCGGCACCTGTGGCTCAAAGAAGTAGGGTGCTGGCCCCATATACCAGAGGTGGTGGGTTCAAACCTGGCCCCAGCCAAAAACTGCATTTAAAAAAAAGAAGAAGAAGAAGAAGAAGGATTACATACCTGTAGAACTGAATATTACTACTTACGTAATTTATTAATATATAAATGTACCTGTTCATAAAGAAGAAAGGTCTTGTCTCTTTCAGATGTAAGAACCTTCACATTACCCTGAATTTCTGCCAAATGACGCTCATACTTTTCCAGCATGCATTTAAGTTCTTCACGGTCTCTTGCTGTTGTCTTCAAAAGTTCTACATCACAGTTTGCACCCTACAATTATTATATAAGGAATTTGAAATTCTTCCTGGACTTACGGAACTGATAAAGAAGTGCTATGGATGGCAGTATACTATCTCTACTTAGGCAAACAACACTATATAGTGAAAAGAAATTAAGAAGAACAAAAATCACCTTTTTAATAATAGCTTCATCCCAAATTGCTCCACATTTGATTATTTCCCAAGCACTATCTATGCTGAGGATAAAGAACCAATACTGATGGTCTGCTATGCAATCAAAGAGACCTTTCCCAACCTCTTTGATACAACAATTCACAACAATCAAAAAGAAATACTTTCTAATTAAGTAAATCAAAAAATAAAAGTCAGTGGTTGAGCAAAAAACTCCAAAATAACTGTAAGTTTCCAAACCTACCCGGAGAGTTGGAGATGGGCGTCTTGGACTTTTAGATCTACTTCTCATCATCTTTCTCAAATTTTGAGCTTCACACTTATAGTAATCTCTGTCTGCTTCTAAAGTCTTGACAAAGGAATCAAGTCTAGAAGGAGATTTATTTTGTGCTTTTTCAGTCTCTAAAATTATCTTGTCAAGGGGGAAAAAATTAGGCCATTATTTCAAACTAAAGTATAGATCATTTTTCTAAATAAACCTAAACATAAATAAGATCCTTAAAATATTAAATTTGATTTTATAAATAGATCATTTAAAAATTATTTATCAATAAATTGATGAAGAAATAAATTATTTATCAATAGTTTTTAGAAAGCAACTAGATATCCTTCTTATCAGCATTTCTGGAAATACTCTATTTTTATTTAACTAAAAATACCCCTAAATTTACTCAATAATTTTGGAGAAAAAATGGCAAAAAGTTTTATTTATTTTTTATCAGATAGAAATTTTAGAAAGATCAGAAATGTCCATATACATAGCACAAGTCTTAGAAATGAGATTAATCTGTTTTAGAAAAACTTATATGCTACTGTCAAAGCATCTGTTATAGCACCTAGGTTTTGTTCAATATTGTTTGATAAATGAATATATTAAATGAATGGTGAATATTTCATACTTGTTTGTGTTTTCAAATACATTCCCATGAATTTCCATTCACTTTAATATATTTAGAAATAATGTTTTACGTTTATTTCACAAGACTTTATTAGGAGAAAACCATAGATATAGAGTGTTTTAAATATTTTTTAAAACGTTAAAATGTTTAACAGAGCAGTTTCATTTCACATTGTTAGATAAATAAAACATGTGGTTTGGAATGAAGCAACAAAAGTATGACCTAAAAATATTTATTACAGACTAGGCACAGTGGCTCACGTTTATTATCTTAGCAGTTTGGGGGACTGAGGCAGGAGGAATAGTTAAGCCTAGGCGTTTGAGACCAGTCTGGGCAATAGCAAGATCTCTTCTTTACAAAAAAATTTTAAAATCTCAGCCTCATGTGGTGGCTCATACCATAGTCCGAGCAATTTGGAAGGCTGAGGCAGGAGAATGGCTGGAGCCCAGGAGTTTGAGCTTGCAGTCAGCTATGATGGTGCCACTGCACTCTAGCCCAGGCAAGTGAGACTCTGCCTCAAACAAACATATATACAGGATGGCCAAAAAGTTTGTGTGCAATTTTAAATTGCACCCTCTTTTAAACTGCAATGAACTTTATGGCCACCCTGTATATATATAAAACTAAGGGGAATAAACAATGTGTAGACAAATACATCCTCGAAGAATAAATTATTCAAGTCATCATTTTAAATCAAGTAATAGCTGAGCACATTAATAAAACCATCAAAAAGTTGTTCTCTCCCATGAGAAAAAAAAAACAGTAGTGTTGAAAGTAGTAAGTAAAGCATCACTCTTACAGAGAGGGATACCCTCCTTCCCTAGCAGCAGGCACTGATTGCTCGGCACCTATAGCTCAACCGGCTAAGGCGCCAGCCACGTACACCTAAGGTGGCGGGTTCGAATCCCCAGCCCTGACCCGCCAAAACAACAATGACGGCTGCAACCAAAAAATAGCCGGGCGTTGTGGCGGGCGCCTGTGGTCCCAGCTACTTGGGAGGC